ATCACCCTATCACTCTTTCACCCTATCACCCTGTCACTCTTTCACCCTGTCACTCTTTCACCCTATCACCCTGTCACTCTTTCACCCTGTCACTCTTTCACCCTGTCACCCTATCACCCTGCCATTCTTTCACCCTGTCACCCTATCACCCTGTCATTCTTTCACTCTGTCACACTATCACCCTGTCACTCTTTTACCCTTTCACCCTGTCACTCTGTTACCCTATCACTCTGTCACTCTATCACCCTGTCACTCTTTCACCCTATCACCCTGTCACTCTTTCACCCTGTCACTCTTTCACCCTATCACCCTGTCACTCTTTTACCCTGTCACCCTGTCACTCTGTTACCCTATCACTCAGTCACTCTATCACCCTATCACTCTTTCACCCTATCACCCTGTCACTCTTTCACCCTGTCACTCTTTCACCCTATCACCCTGTCACTCTTTCACCCTGTCACCCTATCACCCTGCCATTCTTTCACCCTGTCACCCTATCACCCTGTCATTCTTTCACCCTGTCACACTATCACCCTGTCACTCTTTTACCCTTTCACCCTGTCACTCTGTTACCCTATCACTCTGTCACTCTATCACCCTATCACTCTTTCACCCTATCACCCTGTCACTCTTTCACCCTGTCACCCTATCATCCTGTCACTTTTTCACCCTGTTACCCTGTCACCCTATCATCCTTTTTTTGTTTGTTTTCTTCTCTTTTCTTATCTATTTTTTCCCTTTTTTCTTTTTTTTCTTGTCTTTTCTTCTTATCTTTTCTCTTTTCTTCTCATCTGTTTTCTCCTCTTATATTTTTTTCATCTCGTCTCTTCTGGTGTCTTTTGCTTATGTTTTGTTATGTTTTTTTTTCTCTCTCTTTTCTCTTTTCTCTTCCGTTCTCTTCTCCTATATCCTGTTTGTCAGTCTGTTTCTTACTCTGAGTCTCTCTCTCTCTCTCTCTCTCTCTCTCTCTCTCTCTCTCTCTCTCTCTCTCTCTCATTCCCTCTTCCCACTCCTCTTTATCTCTTTCTCTCCCTCGCCTAGTCAGTGGGACGGAAAGGAGAGAGGAGAGGGGAGAAGAGAAAGAGGGGAAGGAAAAGGAAGAGGATAGGGAGACGGGAGAGGAGGGAAAGGAGACGAGAGAAAAGGGAAAGAGGAAAGGAGAGGGGAGGAGAGGGGAAGAGAGAGAGGAAGAGAGAGGGGAGGGGAGGCAAGGAGAAGGGAGAGGAGAGGGGAGGGGAGACTGTGTATTAGTATTATGTAGTATTATCAAGCTTTGAAATTAAGATACTTATGATATCAATCATAAAGCGTAATATCATTAATGTTGGAGAGATACGAGAGCCGGAATCTAATTATAGTGTACGCTGGTCATCACTCATTCAGGCTAAATGTTTAAATGAATTGGGATTAGTTTGTGTGCAGCCAATCCTTGCAAACGTGCATTATGTATATATATATATATATATATATATATATATATATATATATATATATATATATATATATATATATATATACATATATATATATATATATATATGTGTGTGTGTGTGTGTGTGTGTGTGTGTGTGTGTATATATATATATATACATATATATATATATATATATATATATATATATATATATATATATATATATATATATATATATATATATGTATATATATATATGCATATATATATATACACACACACACACACACACACACATATATATATATACATAAACATGCACATGTATGCACACGTATACATGTATATGTCTAAAGAAAGCCAGATAGCTAAACAAATCGATCGTACAAACAGACAAACAGAAATCTATAAACAGATCAAGAAAAACAAACAAAGACAGAGAACGATGCAGAGCACCACTACCCCCCCTCCCCCCAGCACCTCCACTCCCCCCCCATACACAGCGAGCGAGGCGGCCAGTGATCGCGGGTCGTGCTTGAGTCTAACGGAGAGGGAGGTGGGTGGGGGTGTGGGGGTGTGGGGGGAAGGGCTGCGTCGTTTGCATGTCGGGTGTCAGAGGGGCAACGGAGGGGGGAGGGGGGGAGGGGGGGAGAGGGTTTGGTATGTATAATCGCTGTGTTTGTTTGTCGGTTCTGGTGCTATTTGCTTCGGGATGTAGTCGGGTGTCGGGGATTTTTTTATCTAATTTTCTTTTTACTGTTTTTTTCCTCTCTCTCTTCTTTTGGTTTATTTGGTTTGTTTCTCTCTCTGTCTTTATTTCTTTTTTATCAGTTTATTTATATTTCACCATCTTTCTATCTTTTCGTCTTCATTCTTTCGTTCTTCCTCTTTTTTCTATAATTTCTATCTGTTTTCCTTATCATTTCCTCTCTCTCTCTCTCTCTCTCTCTCTCTCTCTCTCTCTCTCTCTCTCTCTCTCTCTCTCTCTCTCTCTCTCTCTCTCTCTCTCTCTCTCTTTCTCTCCCTCTCTCTCTCTCTCTCTTTCTCTCTCTCTCTCTCTCTCTTTTTGTTAAAAAAAAAAAAGCA